GATGCAGATCTTGCAAAGTATTTAGACATATTCGCACAACAAAATAAAAGTTTATCAGATCTTCTTAATTTCAATTCGACAATATTCTATAAATATTTTGTTAAGAAAAATTCATTTGTTCCAACGAATACTATTCTTCTATCATCTATGTATCTAACTGAATTAGCATTTGATGCACAAATACTTAAAATGTATACAAACAATGATATTAAAATTGAAATTTCTCCTCAGAAAAAGTTGCAACAATTGTGGAACGACTCAATAGAATATCCAAAAATGATGACTTTTGAACTGGCAAGTTGGATTACGAACTATTTGGAACAGATAACAAACAAAATCGATTTAGATGATATTATTAAATATGTTAGTCAATGTTTAGAGGTCGAAAGAAAAGCTCTTCCAATCGTTGAAAAGTGGCTAAAATATCGGATGGATAAAGATTTGAAATATTTTGCATATTATACTGCATTTATATTCGTTAAGCAATGTGTCGATATTCCAAATTTAATCGAAATTGTCAATGAAGCACTCCTGAATGATGATGAATTTCACTTGAAACCTTTCATCAGAGACCTTTTCATTCACAGCCTGCAAATCTCCATTATATTCATCAAATCCTTGTTATGCTCCATAAAAATATTCGTTATTCTTCACAAATTTCTGTTCATATTGAAAATGAAGAAATACTAGAATTACTTTTAAATTTAGAACTCGAACGAATAACAACTTTAAACATCGATCGTATAACTCAACCGTATTTATTAATGATTACTGATTGTTCAGAGCATTTAGAAGTTTATCTTAAAAAATATTTAGTTGAATTTGTAAATACTGAACATACCGTAGAGATTAATATCAAAGATGAATATTTGGCTATTATCATCAAGTGGATACTCGAAATGTCGATTGCTTTATATTGTACAACAAAATTCTCGGTTGAATTTTATGAATGGATTTTTACATTTCTTTATGATTTGAAATTTCTTCGAGTTCACAAAGCAATTTTCAATGCTTTGAATTCGATATTTGCTCATAAGTTCCTAAAAAAAGCACAAGTCTTTATAGAAGATCAGACGATTATTCATTTGGAAAATGTCATTTATTCATGGAAAAAGTATCCAGAAGGTGCTCTAAGTCTTTGTTTACTGGCTTATGGGAACTACATACTCAAGTTAGAAGCATTAAAAAGAAATCGAATTTTTTCAGAAGAAATCCAAAATACCCTGATCACTCTTGTCGAAACATCGGCATCGGAATTAATCTTTATCAGAGCTGCTTTTTGTTTAATTTATATTCGTCATCCAAATATGAGCTCTTATAATACAATATGGAATTGGTTTGAAAACAAAAAAACTATAACATCTAAACAAAGATACACTATTCAGTTACAATTAACATTATATCAAGGATTAAATCCCCTATTTCATCGAGGTACAAAATTAATTACTGAATTTGTCGATATATTGGTCAATGATCTTTATAATTATTTATGTAACAAGAAAAATATTGATTATCTTGCTGATCCAACACCTGATTATGTTAATTTAGCATTGGAACTTTGTGAAATGCATTATGATATATTTCGTAATGCTCTACAGAATAGTTCTTTTGGTGAAGAGAAATTTAGAAATGAATATATCGTTTACTTTTATCAAACGAATGATCCGTCACATCGTAAAATTTTAGCACATTTATACGCCGTATTTGCTAATGTTACACATGATCTTATTGATATGTTAAAATGGATTGACTCTGTTGAAAGTAGTAATGAAGTAGCTGAATACGCTCACAAATATGTTGCAAGTGGAAATGGATGGAAGTGTCTTGATCATATTCATCATATATCCAATCGAGATATTATTGAAATGATATTTCAATCACTTGATTCAACATGGTACGAGAAAAAATTTCAATCGTTTTTGTCCATATTCAAACTATTGATTCGACTTGCTCAAAATAATGTTGTGTCTTTATTAGCATTGCATGAACATGTCGCAACCCTTATTAATAATACTCCTGTGCATCATACCAAGAATAGATCATGGCATGATACAACAACTATTATTGATCTCTTATTGGATCTTAGTTGTATTAAAAAGAGATCATTCTCAGATGTTCAAAAGAATCTATTAACTGAGAGTGATGTTGACGAACGATTTAATGAAAAACTACATCATCTCAGTAAAAACTCAACTCTGTTTCTTAGAAGAAATTATTTTTTTAATATTTTACGATCAGTCTCATGTCGTTCTAAATAAGAAGATAATTCTATGTTTTTGTAGAAGTCTTGACACCAGTATTTATGTAGAGATTTTTCCTTTGTTTTTTTTTCATATGAAAGAGTATGTGAGAATGCAGTGCCTATGAGGGCCGGTTTTTTTATTCTTATCTTTATGAATAAGAAAAAATTCACAAGTTCAATCATTCAAAAGATCCTCAAAAAAAATGGCGCTTGTAAAATAAAATTACTTAAGCAAAGCTTTATCAAAAAGGGCTCTCGTAAGCACTGCAGTTTTTGATGCTCTTTCAAACAAAAAAAATATTTGAGTTGACTTCCACTGGAGATGTGTCGTTCAACTACAAATTTGAGCAAAAAAATTGAATTTTTTCAAAAACGCTAATTTTTCGAATAGGGATTGTCAAGAATCTTTAAAATTCGTGGGAAAAAGGAGGCATCGAAGAAAATTTTTTATCATTTACATAAGGGCAAATGACAGGCTATATCCTTATGTATTTATCTCAATTTCTATGATTCTGACGAAAAGTGACTTTTTTAGGAGGAAGTAATGAAACTTGTAGAACTTTTCACACTGCATCTGATGATTTTAAAATAAACTTACTAGATGATAGAAGTAAGAGATACAAATACAAGTCATTCGTGAGACACCCGCTAGCTTTGAAAGTTAGTTAGATAATCTTTATTTTATTTTTTTTCTTAACTTTCTACATAAATAAGTTTGAATTTGACGACACATCTTTTGGAAAAAGAATCAGTTCTAAAGATTAAAAAGAAAATAAGTTATAGTCAAAATAGTCAGAGGCTCATTTATTATGACTCATACATTATAATATGTTTCTCTTATATTCATCAGATTTTATAAAAATCATATCTGACACATCGTTATTCATAATTCGAAAAAACTACGCGAGATAAATTAAAACTAACTTTTAAAAGATAACGTAAGTTGCGTCAATGGAACGATAACATTACACAATTTATTTTAGAATAATTCTTACACAACAAGAAATATGTTATATTAAAATTTGATCAAAAACTTGAGAGCATTTTTTTTTCGGTTATTTCCAATAGATATGATCATATAATAATCATCTTCTTTACATGTAAATTTCTTTCGTCGTAGACGTGGTATATTTCTTCGCAACCAATTCATTGAAAAAAAAGGTGCATGTTTTTCAAAATTGTACCAAACAAGAATACTTTCAAGATATTTCAATCGATTAATTAATTCAATCATCATTTCAAGTGAATTTATATATATTTTTAAAGATTTAACATATGAAAACATACGACAAAATAAATTCAAGTCATCCGAAAATTTCCATTCTTTAATTGTAAATGAATAAATATGTAAAGGTGGTTTAAATAATGGTATAAAATTTTTAAATATTAAATGATTTAAATTAGGAATATATTCAAGTAATAAATGAATTTGACCAATTGATATATTCTTAATATGTGATAGATTAAGTTCTTTTATTTGATTAAGATCAACAATAGATATAATATTATCTATTGATGGTAATGTCGAACCACTAAGATTGAGTGAATTTACATGAATAAGACGATAATTTGGTAGATCATCAATGGATTTATTAAAATCGAAGTATAAATTTTCAATATATCTCGAATAAAATATTCGTTGTTCATCATTTGATGGTACTGTTGATGAAGGTGGATAGCAATCTCTAGTATAATTAATACATGTCGGTAGAAATGTAGGTATAGAATAGACGCATATTTGTGTATTTTGGTTCGATCGATGTTTATTACGTCCAACATACCAATATTTTTCTTTTAGCCAAAATATTGATCGAAATGAATCAAGTAATTTAGATTTACTTTGTGTAAAAGTAAAATTTTCGGATAGTATAAACTGAAAATTAAATTTAATAATTTTTGTTTTTCGAATAAATTCTTCCCACTGTTTACCATCAATTAAATCTAATTTGATAACAATTGTTAAAGATTTTAAATTTAATAATTTCATACGATAATTTTGAATGTACTCAAATGAAAAAGTTTTATTTATTAAACAAGTCATTGTAAGATTTGTAAGACAATGAGATAAATAATCAAAATTAGGTATTGAATTAGAGTCTATTAAATTTTCATTTTCAATAGAAAGTTTTAAATGATTGATTGGTGAACGAAGATTTTTAAGTAATGAATGATAATCGTTGGAAGACGATTCATTATTTTTTAAAAAACAACAGAAAATTTTCATTCCAACGTGACCAACATTTAAATAATTGAGAGAAGGAAATGTAATATCAATTGATTGCAATACATGAAAACAATCAACTTTCAAATAAGTTAAAGATTTGGCTTGTTTTACAATAGTTTCAATAACACGTTGACTAACATATATATAACCATGAAATGTAAGAGCTGAAAGTGAATATGGTAAATCAAATAGAATATCATCTGTTCGAATAAATTTTATAGAACGAAGATTAATAAATTGATATTTAAAATATGGAAAATATCGTTGAAAAACAATAACTTGATCACCCATATCATCGTCTGAGAATATAAATGATATGACTTGTTCAGGTCGAAGATAATAACAAATATAATCAAATTTTAATCGAGAAATATTTTGTAAATCAACTTTTAATGGATATATATTAATAATATAATTTAAACGATAATTGAGATTAATAAAAGCATGATATATATCATAAGTTGATAAATAATCAAATATTTCATAGAAAATTTCCGTTGAAAATAATTCAAATCGAGAATTCATTTTAGGAATAAATCAACTCTATCGATTTTTTCTTTTCTTCAAATAAATAAAAATGGGTAAAAATGTTCGTATAGTAGAAAATGATTTAGTATATTGTCAGACCCCAATGATTCATGCGTTTAATAGCAGATTTGAAAGTGATTGATGCACTTTGGCTATATTTTCGGTCCACTGGATTTTATTGGATGAATTTTTGTTGAGAGATCACATTTTTCATTTACATTTGGGTTTGCTATATGGAATGACTCGCAAATTGGGTGGGATGTGGGTGTGTGGGTGTGGGTGGGATGTGGGTGTGGGGTGTGGGTGTGGGGTGTGGGTGTGGATGTGGGGTGTGGGTGTGGGTGTGGGTGTGGGTATAGGTGTGGGTGTGGCTGTGAATGACAATAGTAACACCTATAGCCACACCCACACCTCACCCACACCCCACCCACACCCACACTCACACACACGCCCACACCCACCCCACACCCACACCCACACACCCACACCCACCCAAACCCACACCCACACCCATACCCACACCCACACCCACACCCACACCCACCCAAACCCACACCCACCCCATTTAATTTACACAGATAAGTATACTACAATGACGACAAATAATTTTTTTTTCAAACCTGTTTTCTACAATTAATAATTCTCTTCTGGCTGGAATAATACATTCATCTTCTACAAATTTTCTCTTTTGAAAGTTTATTCAGAAAAGCAAAACAAACATATTTATTTCCAAATAATTATTCGTATTTTTTCTATATGAATATTAAAAAAATATGGGTGTGGGTCTGATAGGTAGAAATACATGCAACCAACACCCACACCCACAACTACACCCATATCCACCCACACCC